AGTAAATAAACAGTGTACAAAACTGATTCTATCTTATATCTAAACTAATAGAATCTTATTTTTTTAAAACAGTACAATTTTGCTTGAACCACCTTATCGTAAACTATTAATTCCTACTATGAGTATTTCCAAATACTGTAATGGAAATCAATTGATACAGTTTTTTGGCTGTATAGTTTTTTATTTAATCTACAAGTGACTTCTTGATTTAAAAATGTATGACCAAAAAACGTAATTTTCGAATAGGGGTTAAATTTGGACGTTCCCGTACTTAATGATACTGCCTATGGTCATTTTTCGAAGAAGAAGTAAAATAGATAGGTACTATCCTCTTTGCTTCATATAGAATTTTTTTATCATGCATTGTTGGTAAAAGCCAGTGATGAAGCAGATTTTTGTCAAAGAGTTCTATAAAATAATGATTATCAATTCGATGTAGTTTAGTTAAAAAAGGTAGTATCTGATATAATATCGGGGCTAATACGACACTGGACTGTAGGAAGGCATGGACCCAGGTTCGGCCTACCGTATCGAATCTCAAATTCGTATGTCTACTGGCGCATTTGTTAAATTTTTGTCAAGACTTGCCCAGGATCTAGTTTTTAGGTGGCCCATTCCTTAATACATTCGGTCATGCCTCCAACATTTATATTGGCCAAACACTTGCATTAATCAATATAAATGATTTGAACAATTACGAGGAATGTGAAATCAAAACGGCTTTCTTAGCTAATTAAGAAGGATTCGATAATTTTTTCACTTCACCTACCTACCTAACTTATAGTATTAATAAAATTAATGTATTACAAAAACAACTTAAATTCCCTTTAAGAGCGTTCATTGTCGAAAGCAAAATAAAATTTTCATTTTAAAATTATTTGATCATATAAAACCGTCCACATATCGGGTGTTTTTAAATCTGCATGAGAAATAATACAAGACAGAAATATTGTTGGAATGAAATTTTTTATTATAATCTGGTAGTCAATTTCATAGCATTTATTTTTTGAATACGATTTCTGGTATATGTCCGCCGCGGCTACAAGTTACATGAACCATTTGATCAGTCCAATTTAACACTATATTTTGCAATAAATGTGGCCGTATGGAGTCAATCGTCAATGCTGGCATGAACACTGGCTTCCAATGCTTCAAGAGTTGGTGGTTTGTCAGCATAAAATAACGACTTAACATAGTTCCATAAAAAGTAATAGAAACAGAACCACTTCTGGAAATATAGTTGTTATCAAATTGATTTCGTAATAAATCGATTGTTAAGGACGCTGTACGATAAGTTGCACCGTCGTGTTGGAACCAAATTTCGCCGATGTTTATTTAATTAATTTTTGAAAACAAATTCTATTTCAATAGAAATAAGGACTGATGATGTGAAGAGCGTGTAAACCGCACCAAAGATTCCATTTTAATTAATGTAATGGAGATTCATTAATGACGTAGGGAATATTTTCGCTATATATATGACGACGTAGCTAAACACAAATGAGCTTCATAACTAAACACAATTCTTCGACGAAATGCCCTATGAACTTGAAGAATAATTTAATTTTTTTCTAAGTAAATTTCCACAATTTGGATCCATTGTTCCAGTGTTAAACGAGTCAATGCGAATTTCCAAATTTTACTGGATAGAAATGTCAGCATAGTTTAACATTCTTAGCTGTCAAAACATTGTTCTCATGTAGCTAAAAACACACTCGTTGTAAGTATTCTTGTTTTTATTTTTATTGACAATCTAATAGTGCAAATTATTATTTAATATTCATTAAATGATTAACTATGGGTCCACCTATAGAAGCTCAAAACTGTTTCCAGTGCTTAAAGTCTTTTTCGTTTGGAAATAAGCGGTACGAGTGTTACTTAATATTAAAACTGTTAAACACGTCAGCTTCGTTGTGAATATTTTTCTACCCAAGAATTTAATATACTAAGCACTACATTTCCTTGACTACATATTCTATAAAGCTATTTAATTTTCCTCTAAAAAGACATACTGAGCAGCTTTTTACAACCTTTCCTAATAAATGTTCATGTAATACACAAAACAACTTTTTAATCCCCAATTTTTGTATCTTTTAACTTTTATCTCTACATTCACATGCGAAATACATAAGTTGCGTAAGTCACAAATTATTAACGCTTGACTTCATTTTGGCTACTGCAATGGGTAGGGTGGCATGGATCTCTTTCATGAATGGATTTTCATTTACGTTTTGTTTTTTATTGCAGATTTGCTTAATATTGTATTTTACTTTTTAGTCAATTTACGTTAGTGTCCATTATTTTCCGGCATTTTAATTTTGCTGACCAACTGATGCTTTGGTCCATGCATGGCTTGGCTGGGATGACTTGGTCGACCTTTTCTTGTAGATTCGTATGTAAACATTGAAATGGCGTAACAAATGATTTTTTGCACTGAAACTGATGAAGCCTAAAATAGCCAACGTAGCAGAGCTCTCCATATCTGCACAGAGCATCGAAATACTTCCATACTCGCACATATGTAAGAATATTTATTATCATAAAGTGTGTGTAGTACATGGCAGTTTATATTGGTCTGACCTTGCGATAATTTATGTTCGCATATCAACACCAAACAGTGGCACTCCAATGAATAATAGTTTTCCTGCACCATGCATCCGTCCGCCCCCTTTTTAATGCATTAAATTCCAAAAGGTTTTTTGCATGCGTCAATTTGTTAATTTATTTATGCTAAATTAAACATATTAATTATGTTTTTATATTTTTGTAAATAAAAAACAAAAAAATCATTTTACAATATATCTGAATTTAGATTAAATCATTAGTGACGGTTATTAGATTGTTTGCTTCTGTAATTGAGCATTTTGTTGACATCGAAAATTCGTAGATATAAAAACAAAATATTAATAAAAAAATTGCCAAAAATTTTTAATTTTTCGTTGATTTAAATATTTTAAAAAAATTTATCTTGTCTTCACAAATCGGAGACATTTAAAATTTCTTCAAAGTCATTCTTTTTGCCAAATTAATTCGAATTGAAGCGCATTAGTACGGAAAATTAAAAATTTGTATCTTTTTTTTTTGTTGATGTAATTGAGCAACTTCAAAAGCCTAATACAGAAAAAAATCCCCAAAAAATTTAAAAGTAATATTAAAATTAAAAGTCATGCAAAATAAATTTTTTCGTTTTATTTCCAACAAATTTTGAAATATTTTTATTACAGCAAAACTTTTTTAAATAATTTTAATTGAGGTGAAAGAATTTTGTGGTTTCACTCATTCACTCAACTTCATTTAAATATTTTGCAATAAACAAAAGAAAGCAAAGAGAAAGTGGAGAAAGTGTTAATTGAACAACACAAAACCATATGTGGAGCCACAACTCAGTTATGTCAAAAAATAAACAGAAAACTCAGTGTTTAATGCACATTTAAATGGACAAATCCTTCCAAAAAGGAGGTAACAGATCCTCCTTTAGGTTTGAGTAAGTGTGCGTCCAGATACATTTCTGCTTGGGGGCATTTTTGCTTGTGCCAGAATTTGTTGAGTGTTAAAGTATAAAAGTGTAGTTCGGAATGTTGGGATTATATTAAAAGTGACAGCTCAACTAACAGGCCAGAGGTATGATTACAAATGATACTGCATTATCCTTTCACGCAGGACTGGTAGTTTGTGCTTCAGAAAATTTAACAAAAATTGTTGTTGTTGCAAAATTATGAACTTTATTTTGCTAAATAACTGAATTGAAAGATATAAGTATGTGAAAATAAATGAAAAAACATTTTTAATCTGGTTTAATGTATG